CCTCTTGTTCTTTTTCAAAAACAAATCCTTTTTCAAGGGGGGGCCCAAATGTTCTTCAACAAGCTTCCACCACAAAGTTGTTCGTGGTTATAGTATGGTTTCCCACAGACGGCGCCAATCTGTTGACCCCGAAAAGTGTTGCCAACAAATGCCGGACCCACCCGTGCGCACTTAAGCGAAGGTCCTACACGCTAAGACACGTGGACGGTCTGGAACGAACCTCTTTAGGGGCGTGGGAGTAGCTCAACGACGCGGGACGAGTACATTCGAAATTCGACGGGATGTTCGTAATCCGATTGTACAATAATTACCAATCAGTGTTCATGAATGTGAATGTAAATATGTATAGACTTGTATTGTGTTGTAAGACAATATAAAAGAGAGAGTAGAGTGTGGTTTCTTGTATTGATTCTTGCATTAGCCTTTCGATGTTATACAGGGGAAGTATTTATAGTGTTACATGTGAAATAGCAGCCCCTAGATGAGATGGCACGTGGCCTCATCTTCTTAACTCAAACATTCAATCCTAAGCATCATCCTTGACTTGTTAGCTTGCTGCGCATTTATTGGTTGTGCAGAACCCCCATACTAGTGATAAAACTTGACATATGCACTCATGACAAACGTTCCATCAATCATTCAAACAAGATCTTTATGTAGAAGATCTCTTGGGAGAGATGATCCTGGAAGAAGTTCCTTCATGGTTCGGAGGCTTCTGCCGCTCACGTATTACTTCCCCTTCAGGGCTTCGGAAATATCCACACGCCTCGGCATATGGAGTTCGGCAACATTAAAGGCCTCGGTATATGGGATTCGGCAACATTAAAAGCCTCAGTATATGGGCCTTGGCATAAAGGGCATCGGCCATTCAGCCCACTTCGGCTAGAGTGCCACGTGGTTCGGACTCAGGGTTAGAGTGCCACGTGGTTCGGATTGAGTGGGCCATAGGCCCACGTCGGTTGGCCAAGTATGACAACACGTAACAAGTATCACACTTCTATCATTAACTTTCTTCATTATCACATTATTATGTTTAACATTTTATTGATCAGAAAAGTTTATCCTTAATCATGATTTTCGTTCAAAAATATTATTAACGTACTTTAAAATGAAGGTCAAGTATTTAATCGTATTAATGTGTTATTATTTGTTTTGCTCATTGAAAATACGATAGGTAAATGAGTTTTTTTACTATATTAAAAAAAAAATTGAAGAGAAATCATAATCAAGAGCAATTTATGCTAATTTAAGAATAAGATGAAAAGAAGTTTGAGACATCTCGTGTATAAAGATTATGAGTATTTGATACAATTAAAATGTAATCTAATTATTATATTAAAGTTGTGCCGTGAATATTTTTAGTCAACATGAAACTATTTGGTAGCCTCATCTAACCGTAATTTTAGTTAGGTTAGGAAGTGTGTTATTTTAACAAGATATTATTTAGCTATGTTAAAATCATTCCACTTTGGAAACGGGGAGTATTTTTGTTAAATTTATAATTGTAAGTCTTAAAATAAGTAAATCGTAAATAAAAAATTATTGAAGTTACTTACTATTAATAGTCTAGTGACTATTAATATAATCCTAGTAAATATAGTTTTCTATAGCTATGCCCCTGTTTGAGATTTTTTATTATTTTTTTTTTTTGGAGGAAATGTGTTTTGAAATAATAATTTTTTAAAAAATATTTCGTTAAAAAGGAGAAAAAAAAAAGTTTTGAGTTTACTTGTAAAATTATTTTATGAAACAAAGTGTGGTTGAAATTAAATTTAAAAAAAAAATGAGTCTTGATAAAATTGAGGTTAAACAAGGGCTAAACACATATTTGTAGCGCAATTTTATTTCATTTAAGTGTTACAGAGAACATTGTGTGAAAGCATAAAATAAATCAAACAAATAATTTACTAAGATAAACAAGAAGAGAATATGATCTACACGTGCACCATAGTCCATAGCCTATGTATCCTTTACGCAACTCCACTTATCCAACCCCTCCAGTATAAAGCGACATGAGGGGTTGAAAGTAATGATCACTTACATAACATTTTAAGTTTTTTTTCTTTTTTTTTTTTTTAAAAAAATATTATCGACTATTCAACGTACGCAATACATATATATTGTCCTTTCACCATTTTTTCCCTCTCCTCCTTAACCTGAAATCATAGCTCCGCTTCTGCCAATTTTTCCTAAAAGCCACCCTCGCCATCTACTACACCCCATATTCCATCTTGTTGATCTGTCGAGACGTGATCCAGCACCTGTCGAGCACGTGCGGCCAAGTTTGCTGGATCCGCCGGCAGTCTTTTTTTTGGGTTGGCAATAGATGAAATTTTTAGATTAAATATTTGATAATCATTTTTTGTTTGAACTTTGCTTCTGACCAAATTGGTTAGTGTTGGTTTTTTTACCTTGCAGGTCTCAAGTTCGATCCTCCATCTATCAACTTTTATTGTTCCATTTTTTTAGTTTTAAAATTTAAAATTAATGGAATGAGGAGGAGGGGATTCTAACCTGGAGCTATTGTTAAAATTATTAGTGGTTTGACCATTATGCTACTTGTTAAATTGTTATAACTATTTAACAAATTATATATATTACATCTTAGCTTGTTTTACTGCAACAATAAATATTTGAATTCGAGCTTTTCTTTTGAATTATATAAAACTTGGCAATAACGTCATTCAATGAGTATGATTTATTCTTTTAACAAAATTATATATATATTTAATTTCAATAAAATAATTGTTATGTTTAAATTTTAAGTCTTGTTTGATTTCCATTTATTTCAGAATATATTTTTCTCTCTTTTAATATTCTTTAACAAAATAATATTACACGAAATTCAAAATTTTTTCTTATTTTTAACTACATATTTTTCATCAAATCACTATTTTCCAAAATGCATTTTTTGCCCAAAAAAATTACATCCAACGAGCTTGTAATATTTTATTGGGCCGACGGCCGACAATCAATGATCGCCTGTGCTGACTCAAAATCCTGCATCCGCCATTGGACATGATGTCTTCAATTTTTATCACCTGCTACCCTCCTTGAATTCCTCCTCGATGTTCTACTTCTACACGCACGTACCTAGAACAAATATATTTAAAGGAAATCCTCCCCGAATTTGCTACATTGCACGCATCTAGGTATTGCTAACAAAAGGAAAGAAAAAAGAAAATGGCTAACTTAAAAAGTAAAAAACATCGAGAGAAGAAACAACCAATTAGCAATTTAATTCTTTATATTTTGCTGAAACAATTATAATTAATTAATTCATTAACTATTAGACGTAGATATTCTTTTATGCGTGCAGTTGCCCCTAGGGCACATCTCCAAGTGGTAAAAGGGGAGGGTGGAGAAATCCAGCTTTACTTGAGGCTGCCGCCTCAAGGGTTCGAATCCTGAAATATGGATTTGGCTCTTGGGTAAGTGCAAGTGTACAAGCAACCTTCCACCCTATACCCTTGGAGGCATAACCTGCGATTTACCTCTCTCACGATACTTCAGGACAGGGATGATGGGAGACCCTCAAGGTTAGGGTTCAACATTTTTTTTTTCCTTTTACGCGTGCAGTCGATTATTTTATTTATTCAATATTATATTCTACTTGGACAAATCCAAAGCAGTGTTGTCCGTCCAAAATATCCCATCCCATCCCTTTCTTTTTTTCTGTTTTATTTGACCAAGTTCAAATATTCCAAGTCAAGTCACGATAAGAAAAATATCATCTTTTAGTTACACGTGTACAGCCACGGTTATCTTTGTTAAAGACAATCTTGTCCTCGTTGACTCTCCCCTATTACATTGTTGTCTTTTCATCAATACTAGTCTGTGTAACACTACATTACGAACTTATTGATAAAAATGCTCTAGAAAGTTCTATTGGTACGACCAAGTATAAATATAAATTTATAATTGAAAAAGAAAGTAAATTACAAATATTTCAAAGATGTACAATCAAGATTTGAAGGAAACACATGATCTTTTAGAATTGTCATACCAGATAAATAGCAAACAAAGTTAAATTTAGCGTGACGTATCATATCATTGAACGACGAGTTTAATAGTCATTCAATTACGTGTAATTTTTTAATAAACTGTTAACAAATTAAAAGGGAAACAAGTCCAGTGAAATATCATATAATATTATAGGTATTGATAAAGAAATTATATTATCGTTTATTACATTTTTCTCGTCCTACTGTTCCAAATAAGTTTTTTCGTCCTACAATTCTAAATATCAATCGTACACTAAAAAAAATCTTAAAATTAGTGTAAATTTCATTTACGGTCGCTGTACTTTTTTGCAAATCTCAATTAGGTTCGCTAAACTTCAATTTATTCTCAATCGAATCATTAAGTTCCAATTTTCTTTTGAATTTCACTATCCTTTCAACTACAGTCTTCCTAATCAATGAAAATTGTTTAATTGACAGTCATGCTATAACACATTTTTCACATAATCTATGCATGATATGTCATAAAAGCATTAAGAATTAACATAAAAATGCAAGCATTTTAACATTTTAATCTAAAGACATTATCATAATTTTTATTTTACTATTTTCATTTATAGGGTGCCGTATAAGGATTACGTAAAAGTCCAAATGAGTAATTTTCATAAGTTTGAGAATGATAGGTGATGAAGTTTAAAATTAAAGTTTGGTTACTCAACTCAAATAATTTATTGAGACCGCTTTACCCCTTACAATTGTAGCCCTCGTTTGGCCCTAAATAAATTAAATTTTATTTTTTTCTCCCCTAGTTTCAATCACGTAATTTTTTATAAAATAATATTACACGTGAATTGAAAAAATTTCTTATTTTTTAACAACTCATTATTTAAAAAAAATATTATTCCATATATTTTAATTTTAAAAAATAGAGGCCAAACGGGCGTATATTTGTCGTGGTAGTATAAAAATCCATGTCGAAATCTTTGCGCGTAGAAGAAGGGTATATATACTTTGATGCATACATTTTTTTTTTATTTATATATAGCCGCGTTGGTGGAGATTCTTTGTTATCCGATAAATTCTCTGTCTAATCCACTTTTCTCCTCCTTCAATGGTTCCCATGCCGATCTTAGCGTATTTTTACCGATTCGTTTAATAGTCTTTCGAAATTCTCAAATCGATTTATTTGTGAGGATTAGTGCTGGGCGTTGAGTTTGATATAGAGGGAAAAATACCTAAAAATAATTTGGGGAAAGTGAATCGAAGAGCATCGAACAATGCATTCGGTGTCTTGTAAGGATCCGGTGTTGTTCACGCGCCCTTTCGTGTCCTCTTTCTATGGCGGATCATCTTCTAATCGTCTGAAACATCTTCAGAAAAGTGATCGGCGTGGTAATATTAGTAGTTAATATTGGATTTTATTTTGTTTCTCTTAAAGTCGGTTTCTTTTTCTTGGGTTTAGCTTTTGGGAGGTTTGTATCCCCAATTTTCAATCGGTTATTGTTATATAATAATAGTGCTGTCGATAATTTGTTGAGCTTAAGCGATCCAATTTTCTGATCTGTTCATTGGATCTCGTCTTTCGAGAGCTCGGTTCAGCTATATTTCCGAGGATTCCTGGGTATACAAGGTATTCACTTGATCGCATATACATGTAGCCCTTTCCTGATTTATATAGTTTCAGATTGTTCTGATTTGTGCATTTGCAGATCTTTTCTGCAACTTTTCACTCTTGTAGACGGATAGCTGCATCCCACAAAATATGTCATCTGCTCAAGATATAAGCAGCCTTAGTGAGTCATCAACAGATCCACCTGACTTAACTCGTCATGATTCGGGATATCTTTCTATGAACGATCTGAAAAACTGTTTAAATCAGTTTGTAAATATTGAAGAGCTTGAGATAGGTACCCGTGGCTTCACTCCATCTCCTGAGGAGAATGATATAGACAATGCTGAGAAGGAAGTTGAACACAATCAATCTCATGGGAACAAGTGGAACAGTTTAGCTTCGGACAAACACTTCAGCAAGTGTTCCAAATTTTCATCTCCTGCATCATCTGATGAGCATAAAAAATTCCCTGCCGAAGAATTGTTGGATGGGAAAGAGAAGCAAGGTAGTGATATAACCGCTGAAGTCTCAGCATTGAATGGCGATGCCAAATCTGCTAATCAATCATATTCACGTTGCATATCCTTGCCTGTAAGTTTTACTTTTCGATAGCTAGCTTTTAATCATTAATATACAGATTAGATTTTCTATTTGACAATTGGATCCCTTCAAGGGAATATGAGTGCCGGTTTTTTATCCAAGGTAGTTTATGTTATTCTCTTTATGATAATTATATTGATATGACAGAACTTTCACTGATAATTTATATAATTCATATGATGAATTCCTGGAAAGTAGTAATGGGTATATTTATCCTTTGTGTTTCCATGACCGAGGTATGTGTTCAGTGATGTGCACAGTTGTGTGTAGATGGGTGGGATTCTTCCATTTTTTAGCATCAAGGGTGATCTTTAGTATTTGTAAAGAATTCTACCTGATGTAAGTGCATTTTGACATGTGATACTAATTACTGAGGTTGTTCCTCCCTTCATATTTTAAGTTAATTATTTTTTCTGATGTTACCAAATGTAATTAAATTCTTTTGCTGCTCTTTTGACATCAGACATACTCTTTCTGGATGGTCCAGGCGAGTAAAGCTTTTGCCTATGTATTTTGAATTTTGCGAATGGGAATATTTGTTTTACACCAGTAGTGAAAGTTCTGTTTTTTGCTCTTCAAGTTTCCATTTTGCCCTTCTTTCTGTTCCTTAAAGTATTTGGAACAGTGCTGGCAATCCTGTTTCAGATGTACAGATGATCCTTGTATGGCGATCATTTAAGGGTTCAGGTATATAGTATTGGAGATATGCATTAACGTATGTGGTCTTTTTTCCCTCCCTTGACATTCTATTCTCAGACTCCTATGAAGCTTGTATCTGCCATGAAAGGTAGCCGTGAAAAGCAGGGAATACCACCTAAGAAGCTTTCAGTGACGTGGGCCCCTGAGGTGTATGATCCTGTTCCTTCAGCAGTGACGCACGTGGTATCAAACAAGAATCATCGCCAACGCAGTGATAGCAGAAAGTATGGGAAGACCAAACAGAAGGGCGGCGGCAAATCTTCTCGAGGCAGCAAGGGCAAAGACAAGAAGCAAGCTCGAAAGAACAGTGGGAGCACTAGCAGGTCTTTCAAGGATCATAGCATAGTGCATGGTTTTGATGACCCTCTTACTGGTATTGAAAATTTCGATGTTGGCAGCCCAGTTGCATTCTGTGGAAGTAGTTTTCTTAAAAAATCTGTTACCGAGTTGCACTATCCAGTCACAGAGGCTACATGAGCCATCATCCGAATCAATACGGCTTTATTTTCATTCTGCTGATGTTGTAAATATAAATAATTTAGTTAGGTTTTGTTGATCGGTGGAACTTTTGAGGAATAGGAAAATATTTGTCTGATGGTGGAACTGCTATGAAAACTTGCTGAAGACTTCTTTTTCGTGATGATCTAAAATCTTGTTTTATTGTATTATATTTTCAGTGAGCTTCTTGTTGCTTAGCTCATTGCTATTTGATTGCTAGTTTATGGTTGTAATCTTGTGCCCGTGATTATCAGCACATTGCTAGTTTATGTTGATATTCATGTGCCTTTTGGGATAGCACGGAGCATGGTGCTTTATTCAGAATTCAGTTATTTACTTGAATACATTCGTTCAAAGATGAAGAATTTAGCTTTGATTTAGTAGAAGAAAAGTGCAAAATCTTAATGATCTTGAATCAGAATTGCTAATGGGTTATATCCCAGTCCTTTGCGAAGGAAAGTTCAGAGTTGATTATTCTCTGGGACTACAACTTGGATACAGTGACAAGTCCTAGCTTAAAAACAGGGGTAAAAGACTGGTGGGCGAAAGTAAAATTACATAAACATGCCTATACAAGCATGTTCCCATTACTTGCAAGGATTAACAGTACATCTAAATAAAGCATTTGCTCGAAGAATAGATCTAGCCAAACGTGTCTCAACATCTGAGATGGTTCAATGACTGATGGGAAAAGATATTTTCTAAGTAGTGTACTCTGCATTTATTTTCACATAATCATAACTCAAGTCACAGCCCCATGCTAGCCCGCTACCTGGACCATCACCTGTGAAAAAATGGAAAAAGTAAAAATCAATGAATTGTAATTCCCAGAATTGTTATACCAATTTGCATTCTCAACTTATAATTTCACGACACAGCACGTCATTTCTGCATATCTATGAATCTTACCAATAGATATTTGAATTACAACTGTTCCATGTATCTCACCAGCCTTCTTAAGATAATCACTAGCTGCAGCCCTGCAACATTTCAAAATTCTCAAGACTGTTAAAGAAGTATCGGAAAACATGCTAAATGAGTGACCATGAAAAGAGGGGAACAAAAGCAAAAAGAAGAAGATTTGTGGAGAGACGCTCGTTTTGGGCAAGGTTATAATCTGCAAACGCAGATTTCAAATTCTCAAAAACTCACAAAATTTCACACACAAAGGTTTCGCCGAAATATCATAAAAAGCATTTGAAAACTTTGGGAACTATGTTGATATGATTTTATCCAGGCTGAACTTTGATGGAAAAATTAAGTATTGTCTCATACCTATCGAATGGCAATGGCTGCCCACCCTCCATTAGCAGAATATCTCCCAGTGATATTTTGAGTTTGTTTGGATTAAAAGGAATTCCTGCATAACCAGCAGCACAAGCAATACGTCCCCAATTTGGATCCCTACCATATACCGCAGCCTAATGACATAAAGCACGGGAAAAATACAGTAAGCCAGACAAAATAGGAAACAGCTCGAAGCATGTGAGATCATTTGAATGGATATAAATCGTACCTTCGTCAATGAAGAAGATGCCACTGATCGTGCAACCTTTGCTGCTTCAGCTTCACTGCTTGCTCCTGTTACTCTTACCTTCACATGGTATTAAAATCAGAAACACTCTACTGTGGACACAAGGATATATTGCCCATGTTTTCTCAGCGAACACTATGCACAATTTCCCTGATATCCAGTTCTATGTTGTATATATGTTCCTTGCTTCTTATCAAATAGCAATTCCTACCTAGGACTTGAACTCATTTGGATAGTCTTTTTTGTTATTAGGATGGATGTACTATCTTATTAAAACGGCCAAGTCAACGATTAGAGGTAATGCAGGTAAAGATAATGCAAGGAAAGCATGACCTGGGTGGTTGGCTCATGTTATGTGTTGATCCAAAGAGGCTCTCATTCATAAGAGTGGTGTGATTTCTGTACAGCAAGTTAGTAGAGGGAGGTTGATCAAATTTAACATGGCTTTTTGAAGCTTGCTTCTGATCTGCAGTAGATCTATGAACTGAGCAGAATGGTGAAGAAGGATTCGTGTAGCCAATCCAAATTAAATGCAAAATAAAAAGCTTATTTTATTCTATATTTTTACTTGGTGTTTGTTTGAGAGAGATTATATGAAGTGAAAAATGAATTTATCGGATAATGAGTGGTTAAAAAATAAGGAAAATTTGAGTCCACGTGCAAAATTATTTTATTCGGAGAATGTGTGGTTGAAAATGAGTTTGAAGAAAAATAACTTTCGAATAAGTAGTGCCAAACAAATGCTTATTATTGCAAAGTACGTGGACAAAAGTTAAGAAAATTATGTCCGTAAAAATATGCTTACCTCTATCAAGCATGTTGCCCCTTCGCCATCCCAAGCTATTGATTTTGCTAGACCTCGCATTACCTGAATAAAAAGAACATAAAATAATGCTAAAATTTGTAGAGAACTGGGCACAATATTTCCTCATAGTCCAACCAATTTCAACAATGAGCCATGTGGCCTGGACTACTTGACGACCATTCTCATATTAAGTCATCAAGCCCATCTGTAATTAACTACCTTAATACTGATAATAGCATGACAGTTGAAAAAGGAATATGGAAATCACCAAAAGCTAGCAATATAGCATAATACTCTGATGACATTGTTGAAAAGGCAATTCGAAACTTACTCCTGATAAGTATGAAAGTGTAAGACTGTATCAGAAGTGATTTGATACAATGTAATAATTAAAACTTTTACGAAGCAACCCCTGTATCATTCTGCAGACTTGCCAGGATGAAAGAAAGATGAAAGCTTATAATTAACATCTATATTTTGGACTTCACTATGTAGCCGTTACCAATACCAAATGAGGATAGAGTGTGAAGATAGTTAAACATACAGCATCAAGACACGCTTGTAGATGTTCTCCCTCAGAACTATTCAAAGAAGAAATTTTGTTTGATCCTGAAAGACCGCTAGCCAATGCAAGGACACAATCATTTGTACTGGTATCTCCATCCACCTGCCGAACAAATATCCCGCCAAATGAAGCTTCAGATTACAAAATGTAATTAGTTAAATTATGCGGAGACAATCAAAAAAATAGTGAGTACTAACTGATACATTAACAAATTCATAAATCACAACTACAAATTACATCAGGCATGTCTAACATTTTGAGCGATACCAAAAGGAAAATTGAATTTTAAAAACAAACAAGTACATGCAAAAGCAATATAAAAAACACACAGGTTCCCAAAATTATGGAAGTGTCCAAAACCACTAAGGCAATATGATTTGCATGTTTTCTGGCTAATGAAGTCTACAAGACGAGCACCACTTGCAGAAACTGAACTTGCATATCCTTGAATTTAGTAAATCAAACATACCCTAGCACTTAAATAAGGAGAAATTTATGTTTGCAGACTTGGGGCTTTATTTGGTCCTACTTGTCACAAGTACCAAGGGTGAATGGATCAATCTCCACATGCCAAGTATCTCATATTTGCCAGGAACATAAAATGTATTAACAGATTCGAAGCCTAGCACTCCTTAATTTTTATATATAATTTCATGGAAAATGAGCCAAAAATGTATGAGAGGTTGTTACTTGCCGTGATTTGGTTGAAACTACGATTTACAGCAACCTGTACCATCTTTCGCCAAACATCACTTGTGACCGAAGCATCTGTTGTTATAACCTGTGAGAATTAAATCATGATATGGAGTAATTAAAACCCATTTCTGAAACCAGCTAAAGAAAGGAAATCGCTGACAAAACTTACACCAAGCATTGTTGCCATGTTAGGGTGGATCATTCCAGAACCTTTTGCCATTCCCCCAATTCTTATACGAGTTCCTCCAACCTGAGTAAAGTATAATTTCAATTAGAAAAAATAATGTTTTGCTGTCCAGTTGTAGGGAGAGAATTCTTCAATCAATTGATAAAATTCTAAAACTTAGAAAGAAGTGTTCATTTTCATTCAGACACACACAGAAACTTGAATCTTCACTCTGCAAAATCTGTTTGGAACACAAATGGGCTTGTTCATTAACAATTTAGAATTACGTGCAGGAGAACTTTAAAATTGTGTTTGTATAAATGTGTCAAATACAAGTTTTGCAAAAGCTATTGGCGGGCATGATGTAAATACCAAGGAGTCAATTACTACTCAACACAAATGGCTTATTCTCGCACATGTTCAATTAAATAAATTGAAGATTAATATTATCTCATGGCTCATTTATTAAAAGAGCCTAGAATGAGCAACTTTTGCTGAAATGTGAAAATTATTTGTAAGTTTAGAAAAAATTTGGGGTATATCTAATATGGCCAATAGGACATGCAAAATGATGGCAGTATTTTTCGTTGCATTATTGACCTCTTCAATTCCTTCTCTTCCATATCCTATCAATTATATATATATATATATATAGAAAGCCAAATTCTTGAAATTGTTATTGAACACAAACAGCATATGAAACAAACCATTGAACAACCTTCAGGTCAGATATAACAGATTTGATGTGCCCACAGCAAAAATATCCTGTACTCGTACTTCATTACACGGCGTCGAATATTATCTCAATTACTTTAATATTTGAGAAGTCCTACATTTAACAGTTGATGTTCAACTGAAGAATAATCACCCACACCAACCAATAATTTAAAGAACCCATCTCATGAAAATAAATGTAGATATTTTCACTATGCGAGTAACTCTAGCTTTCTCCTACATTTGAGGTAAAAAAATGATGATTTATGCAAGCGAACATTTGACATTTCAACCGATTTTTCCTCTATAAATCAAACTGATTGTTCGTTGCTGAACTACAGTTTCTTTCTTTATCGCAAAATGGGGAAGAGAGGATCAATAATGTTCCTCAGGTATAAGTTTTCCACATTGTCACCCATCAGTACCCTTTAACTTATGCACAATAACAATTAATGTTGGCTTCACCTGGAAAGTATCTCAATCTCAATTCCAATGTTCGATAACAGATCAAATACTGTCTAACCAAGAATGTATAAAATAAACTACTACTTGAAAGAAATATCACACACACCTCAGACTCAATTGCAACACTCTTGCTTACAAGATCAGTAGTTGTTATTGCTACAGCAGCAGAGTACGCCCTGCAAATACATTGACGAGATTAAAAAAATCTATGAGTAGAAAGGATGTTTGAGCATAGAGTTTATAAATAGAACCATTTTTGAGCTTGGTCTTAAGTTTACCCAAATATATTTCCACCTCCCTTGATGTAATCTCCAAAATACCAAAAAAATGAAAAAAAAAAAAAAAAAAGCGGGGGGGGGGGGGGGGGGGGGGTGGAAAATAAAGAAAACAGAGGCAAATGACACAATCAACACGTGAAATCCTGTTTAAAATAATTATACAATATAATTTTAGGAACATGAGAAGTAGTCAGTTTGCACAATGAGGGTTCATAGGTCCATTATGCAGAAATACCCTTCAACAGTGGATGATAGCAGATTTACTAAATTTGGAAGTGACTTGAGAAGAGCCTCCTGCATAAGATGAAAAACACTGATCTGTCATAACTGCTATTATGCTATATGTCATGAAACGAACACATTTTAAAATGTTTTGGCCCACTTGGTCAAATAAAGAAGAGAACTTGATATCATCCACATGTTAAATAAAAAATATAATACCTATAAAATGTTTACACACTTGCCTTCTTTATTCTTTTACCTATCACACCAGTGGATTCAATCAATACTTGCTCAGGATTAAATTGCAGCAACTGCAACAATTAGATATTTTCTGTTAAAAGCATGCGAAGAATACGTGAGACAGTATATACAGAAAAAATGCATACCTCAGAGAGGGCATGAGAACATTCTATTACATCCTGGTAGCCTGCATCACCCTACAACAATTTGAAGTTATCTTAGTCTCAACACACTAAATAATGATATTTTCCCTTTCCATGTTTGGTATTAAGAAAAGAAATCCACCTTCCAGATTTCTATTTGCAAAATAGAATTAAATGCCAACACAAAGCTTCTAAGTTTCAAGAAATTTACCGTTGCTGCATTTGCTTGACCAGCATTTATTAGTACTGCACGAGCCTAAAAAGTTACAGAAATGCATTAGTTATTGCTAGAAGAGAGAAACGGATAACAAATTAAACCATTCAAACTTGACAATAAAGTGTGCACCATTTTAACAGCCATGGAACCAAGATTTGAAACACACAATTTCAACACACTTGGCAGCTATAGGAGAACATTGAAAGACTAAATCAGTTGACTTTAGACAATAATTAGGATTAATGAACAAATTAGTTTCCAACTTATCTCTCATAGAAATGACAAAATGTCACATACCGATAGTAAAAGAAAAACACATGGTCATAGAAATGATTGGGTCAAAATTTATTCAACCAAATCAAAAAAAAAAAGCTCTCCACTCTTTTTGACCCCTCATCTGTATATAAATTCATTATGTACAAGTAACATTATTCTAAATTTATTTATAGGTTCACGTGATATCAGCATGCATAAAGTTTTTCTTTCCTATCCCTGGACAAGTACTCTTATATAAGTAAACGAAGTAGACAAGAACACACACGATAATCATTCATCTTACTAGAACAGACCATCATCATAATTTCTGTTCTAAACTTCAATAGGAGGTCTGTTGTTGAAAACTTTGATGATTGCACTCGCAAAAGACATAAGGTAGACAATTTGAGATGGTACATATACTCAAAAAAAAAAAAAAAAAAAGGAAGAAGTAGAAGATGATGATGATGATGGCAACATGCAAAAGCAGGCAATAAAACCCCATTTAGTCTTAATCAACTAAACTTTTGGTTCACAGTGAAAGCAACATAGGATGAGCAAGGAGAATGAGAAAATATTACATGATCACAGGGAACAGGAAAGGATGCTAGAATCCATAGGAATTATTGAATTTAAGTAGCGGTAAACATGCACCTCCCGGAACAATAATGTACTGCAAACTAGAACACCATTTCCCCAACATACCGTTGTTGAATTATCTAATGCTTTTTTACAGTATAGTACAGGTGCAGCTGCAACCACATTTGTAGTAAATGCCCCTGGAAACCCATGAGAGAAGGGTCAGAAACAGATAACCAAAATTTACGGTAAGAAGTCATTCCCTAAATGTGATCTAATATTATGCCATGGTGATATAAATTATGACTGTTCAACTAGAAGATAGAAATATTCTGAAACATTTGAGTAAACCAATTATTATAAAAATGTGATTAGGCTAACCTGCAGACATAGCATCTACATCACAGGTTACCAGAGCGAGATCAGGCTTTTCTCCAACTGCACGTAACCCACCATACATCCCAGCAGCTTTGAAACCGTTTGCAGCTGTAACTCCTCCAGGGACCTAGAAATTTAAATCCTATGTCTTCAAAACCCAGAATAGGACATATATGTCATGGACTTTAGAAGTCCATTTGGCACAATTAGCATAAAAACAAACAGCAACGCTACAATATTCATAGATTACCGACTCCAATACATTTCATAACCAAAACAAGATAACTTGAATCCCCACCCGCCAAACAGGAACACCAACCTCCTTCAGGTATTAACAATTGCTGTATTAAGAAAAGCAACTATTCATGAGGTGCAACAATCCTTACTTATCAATAAAAAAAAAGAGGTGCAACAATCCTATGAACATCTGCAAACTATTTGTCCCCCTCTCTCGTCATTTTCTTTGGAATTGTCAATAATGCATGTTGCAGAACTTATGTTGACATCAACATTTTTCTATTCCACCCTCTGATTAAACAGCAAACTTTCCTTCTTTTACTTCTACTAAGCAATAACCAAATGACAGTGTCCGAATACGATAGAGATTATAAATTTTTATAGGAGAATGAGATCAGACTCATAAACACTCACATTGAGATGAATAGAAAATGATCCAATTCATCCAGTGTTTGGAATCACCGCGATTAAATATCAACATTTGGAAATGTTACTCACCTGCTGCCAAGGCCCTTCAGGCAGTAATATTGGAGCAGCTGGTACGTAATTGGACATCTCAACAATTGGTGAAGCTGCATATATTCTGAAGTCTCTTTGGGAATTACCCGACAAGCCAAATGTCTGCAGAATACCATCACAAACATTAACATCACTGCATATACTTAGATAACCGAAAAAAAACAACAATCAACAAACTCTAGAAATTCAATACTGTTGACAATGTCTCAATTATTTACTAACTAAATCCATTGAGCGAAGAATAAAACTAAGATATCCCTCAATAAATCAAAACTTTTACAACACTATCATTGTTTTAACTCCAAAAACATCGGGAATGATCGCAACATTAACATGTTCATCATTTTCTTTTCGTAACCACAGTTCACTGATAATCAAGTTTTCGTTTTTCTTTTTTTTATAGCATTTGTTTTCAATAGAAACTAATTGAAAACCAAGTACTGACCTTCGGTTTCTTGAGTTCTGAGAATTTGATGCAGACATGATGCGGCATACATAGAGACATTGTTATTTTACTACTTTATTGCAATAAAAAACGAATAACAAAAATTATTGTTCAATTTGCAGCCTTCTGAAAAGAACTAACTTTACTATGGCTGAAGCATGGGAAAAGAATTATATAAGTTTAAAAAATCTGTTTGTTCGATTAGGTAAGAATTGCCCAAAGGACTTGACCGGCGAACTGAGCAAAGATACGTAAGGGTTTTTCTTCAAAACCTATCGCGAGCAATGCACGTGATTCATATGCACATTACTCAGCGTACTGTCGTTGTACAACGTGCATTAGTTAATTGTACCATGCCTTGGCCGGGGGAGAATATTTGTATGTCAAAATTATATTATCTAGAGTCTAGACCACAACATTCTTTGTTTCTATTTTTCTTTGTTGAGTGGGGTGTGTAATATACACGAGTGTGTGGTTAATTTCTTGAAATTAGACGAATTAATTCAAATTTATGCGGTTTGAAGATGATAAACCATGATTTGTACAAACACATGAAATGTATCTCTTTTAATCATCCTCGTTTGAATCTCATTAATTTTCATTATATTGCATTCCATTTTTCTCTCCCATATTATTAACTATACAATTTTTCATAAAATAATATTACACGTAAATCGAAAATTTTTCCTTCTTTTTCAACTACTCATTTTTCAAAAAAACACTATTCCACTTATTTTTATTTCCAAAAAAAGGGGGCCAAACAGGATAGTGGATGAGGAAGCTACATTGATTATTAAAAACAGAAAAGCAACAATAATCTTTGTAAATTGGACACATTGAATCAAAAGTTTGATCATGTTTGTATCGTCTTGAATTGCATTGCTTAACTATGTGTCAACTCAATCTATTACCCTAAATCGACAATTCTTTTCAATTTTCTGGTTCCAAAACATTTCCATTCACAAAGAATACTAGTCACGCCAGCATGTATTTAGTCCTTTATAGGGTCTTGAACTTCTTCAGCTAGCTATAAAGTGGCGCATTGGCGATGGTAGGTCAATCCATGTTTTTCCTGATCCATGGCTGCCACGAGCAGGGTTTTTCAAGTCAATCTGGAGTGGATATTATTATTTGATTGCAAAATGCTCGTTGGCTGAAAGCTCCAGTAATATTTCAAGTAATTCGAAGTTGGGAATTTTATAGGGGAGATCGCAAACGTGCGGTGCATGGTGTAACTGCACGCTCGTATTGGGGTGTGAAACTCGAGTTACTGATAGGAACGAGAAATGGCAGCTGCCTCAGCTTCGAGGGCTGCATCGCAGTAAGAATAAATGCCGGCTTCATTACATATTCAAGATGGGGATGGTTTTAGCTGCACAATCAAATAGGACAGTCGGGCAATTCTGTGTGGAGCATGTGGAGGCAATAACGGTTCAAGATTTGCCTTATTTTTGCCAAGGAACTCGAAATCCATTCTAGATTTACTCTACCCATTCCCTTTGTCTATACATTGTCAGATCACGAGACCAAGAACAAACACAAGCACTGGAATGAAAAGAATGTCATATGCACTAATCTAACGTATACTCAAAAACATATGGACCATGACCTGTCTTCTCCAAGTGTTGTATCCCACACAGACTGCTGCAGCCGACCACCAGAGGTTATCGTTTTGTAGTCGCAACTTTGCAGTTTATTCAGATTCCAGTTAAAACCAAGTGGAATCCCAACGCATACTTTTAAGCAATGAACCAATGACGCTCTCCACTTTAGTCCACCTACGTATCAAGGTCGACTTTCTTTTGTAGCAAGTGAAGGTTCCTTGGAATTGACCATTACAGGGCAAATCTAGAGGCCGAGTAGGGAATTATGTGCTCCAAGTTCTTCAAGGTGAACATGACTGGTCTGCTGCCGGCTGCACCTCCTTTTCCAACAATGATGTCCCCTTAAATATTGTCAACTGAAGGACCCTCGTATACTTGAACATCTGCTCAAGAGAGGTACTCAAATTTGAGAGCCTAATCAAATTAATTTCCATTCCATCCCCCAAACCCAAAAGGGAAACAAGACAGAAGAAAGGGATAAATAAAACCACCACTCAAATCCTTAAGCATCAGCATATTTAACAATTAGAGTGAGAAAATTATTTAAATTAAAATTAAGTAGGACTTTCATTCTTCATTATTTCAACTAGATTTTCGTAAGCTTAAGATTGGCTGTTGCATCAACAATCACTTGGAAAATGATGTGAAGGGTAACCATTTTATTACTGTTAACAATCTTATCTAACAACTTAAATAATTAGACTAAACCACGTGTATATCATTTAAATTTGCACACAACCCTACACGCGTGGACATGGTTATTTTTTCCCATCAAAGCCAGAAACACAATGGGTGACAGCAAGACCCATATAATCTAAAAGCTTAAATTTTTAGAAGGGAATATATGTATTCATTTAAATCGTCTTCAACAATTTTCATGTCGTGTTTCTGCATATTGACAAAGCAAGTAGAACAGAAGGCAAAGGAAATCATCCCTAAGAGACTCATGGAAGTGCACTTACTTGTTCATCACTCATCTTTCTGAAGCCTAACTTCTTTGTCCACATAGATTCAGCTTCTTCAGCAGCAGGGAGTACCAAAGTTTTTACATTCATAGAAGAAAGTAGATTCTCAATGCAAGAAAACAGTGCTTGAAAATAGCCCTAAGTGAAAGAAATTTTCACGAGTCAATGGTGATTGGCAGTAACGTTCTCTGAATTAGCAAACTGATAGAATGAAAGCTCGCAGCTCAAAGGCTAATAAAACGGAGAGTAACTAAATAAACACATTGATGGATAGAAAACACAGCTATCCCCATTATTTTGAGTATAAAAACCATCTCACGTAGTAGCAACTTACTTTTCCTTGCTTCGATCTACTTGTCGCCACTAAAGGAAGCTCTGCTACCTCTGGCCCAAAAATCCGGACAAGACCAGCTGATACAACTACTGACCTGAATGTAATCACACACCCATTTTTTATGCAAGAAAATTAACCAAATCACGAAATGTTGGAACAAATGAATGACAGTCAACAAAAATGTTGGTAGAATTCAACAGATTGACTTACTTTACTATTAAAACAACACAATACATCCCACTAAATTCTTGCCCAGATATGCTTCTCCTGCACAAGGGTTGCAACAATATTTTTAAATAATTGAATGAAGAATATAAATATACAAGTCAAAAAAGTACTTATAGGACTACAAAAAACAATTAACACAGTTTTTAATTGCTTAAAATATGTAAGAGCTTTCAAATATTATCAGCATTCCTAACAGAGAAAATTGGTCAATCAGAATTAAAATTATGAGCAATCATTCAATTCTTAAATGTTAGTTACCCCAATACTGAAGTATATAACATTGACTCAAAATTATAGTTTCAGCACTGTAGCTTTATGCATGAACCATCAAACAATTAACTTAAATGAAAGCTATTGCAGAGACTTGACCCTGATTGACTTGTACGGTAGTATAATCAAGGTCTGATTGTTATGTTCAGCATCACGAGAAACATCTTGTACCATTACAAAAATCAACTTAGAAGTACTTTATTTTAGGTATTACCTCAGTATGAATCATCATTAAATTCTTAAGTTAATCTCAAGGAGTCACTAAACTGGACAGAGAGCAATCCATGTAACAAACAGAAAGCTTAGTTTGGGGTCCAATCCGTACAAGCTCCCATATTTTTGGTCTCATTTGTTTTATGGAGGACAGAATGTACTATTTTTACCCACAATCTCGGGATAAGTTGTTTTTCCCTAGACTATCTACATGAACATTCATAGAAAAATCATAGTCAATTTCAAAATTAGACCTAAAAGGACCCCCCCAAAACAAAATTCTTAGAAACAGGAAAGCAATCATTTAACTATTATGTACCATGGACAAAATATATCTAGAAAAGGTCTCCTACTATTTTTTGCCCCATCTGTCACATGGAGATCAGAAAGCTTTATTTTCCCCACAATCTCAGGATAAGTTATTTTTTCCCTAAGCAATCTATATGAACCTATAAAGAAAACTATAGTCAAGTACAAATTTCAAACCTAAAAAGACCCCTGAAAACAAAATTCTTAAAGAGGAAAGCAATCATTTACCTATTCTTTTACAATATAACAAATCTAGAAAAGGTGTTCATGCTCCAGAATTGAGCCTGTGTACAATTTTAAAGTAAAACAACTTCTCCAAGTTCTTCCAAGCAATCACCGTGTTCTTGATCAATATAAAGATAATGAGCTAAATACCAGAGGATGAAAGTGAGGCAACTTACCCATACACCATAACAGGTATGAGATCTCGACCAGATTTGGCGGTAATAGGATCAAAGCGCTCCTGCACAATGGATTGGACATGAAAATAAATTATAAGACTTCTTCGAAGCAAGTAAGAATACCCATGCCAATAGTACTATCCAGGTCAACAGAGTGCCAGCAATTCACAAGAAAGGTAAGGCCCAAATACATGGAAGATACAAGAAATCACACAAACGTTTTGATACAGCCCGCACTCCGAAGAAGTATTTATCGAATATATTTGCTTTATACTTGAAAAATTTTTAGAAATTCGATTAATTAAGGAAACCTACGGATCTACAACTAGTGAAAGACATGTATTCCTGTATCAGAGAACATATATTAACCAAACATCATCCTGTGGTAACATGCTCACTTGGTTGTGCTCGCTTATACAGGAAGTATAACAGAATCCTGTGGACCGTTGATAACTGCACTTACGGCTCATTTTTTATTTAAAAAAAAATTGATAGAAAAAGTTGAAAAAAGAACCGGCCCACTAAGTTGAGCTCAGCTCGTGAAAAAAGAGTGTCCGACTCGATGAGGGATCCTCTCTTGACCTTCTCTCCTGATTTTCTCATATGCAAAATCTTATTAAAATTTTCAGTTATTTAGTAGGATACGTAACAATTCAGAAGGTGCTTGGGACTGAATTCTCTCCTTTAAGTTTTCAAGCATTGCTGACTGAATTCTCTCCTTTAAGTTGTCAAGCATTGCTCTAATTCAGAACTAACCAAAGAAATGACTGATGTAATCAATGACTCCCACCAACCCACACACCTTTCATTGACAATTCTAATGTGCAGCATTGCTTTCAAGTCAAGGTATCATTTAGCTAACACTCATTAAGAACTACTCAAATTTGGCTCAATCCGCTGAAATCCAAGGAACATATTAGCACAGTTGAAAATATCCAAATTCCTTTTTCAATCAACAACACTTTCTCATGGCCTGCAGCTTGACATAGAACTTCTTAATAGATCAGAGACGCAAATCTATCTCGATTTCCAATGGGTAACTATCAAATTGCTGCTTCAATCAGCAATTTTTCTTGGGTATATATTGATGGTAGAAACAAAGATCAATTGGCACTCAATCTCAATTTTGCAGAAAGTTAGCCTATATATTTGCAAGTGCTTAGATTCTGATCCCTAAATCTCAATTTTGCGAAAGGTGAAATCAGAAGCCACCATATTGCAAAAAACTAGTTCGAATTGGCTTCTGGTGCAAATCCATCCACAGTAACTTATTGAACATGTCTACCTTCTCTAAATAGGCTTCGAAAATCTAGAAGTCCATTTGCTTGTACTGACAAGCTCATATATAATATTTTTCAATTCTAAAAGGTCTTGCATATGTCTCCCAACTCCCCTCCCTACCCACTCACACATGTATCTACATATCTACACACACACACAGGAGTTTCTAGGAATCTTAACAACAGTATGAAGTAACTTCTACATGTTCTCTTCCATCTCAATTTGGGTCGAATCAATCACGAGTTCTCTTTAGTGTTCCCATAAAATTTTACATCATTTTAGTTACCGCTCATGAAAAACCAAGATTTTCAATCTGCACACTATTCCTGCCATTCAGGCTTTCACCTATGCTTTGAAGTAAAGGAACATCAATACTGAACAACAAATTGATTAAAAATTCAGATTTCAATATACAAAATCATAACAGGCCTTGACTTCCTTCAATTATTATTGCTTAAACAAGAGGCAAGCTAATGGAAGACTTCATACCGAAGAATACTTGATATGAAAAGCTGCTGTATACTCAATTATTATGAATCCAGTGATTATAGATACTTGCATCTATGTAATAATTCTACAACAATAATCTACATTCAACCCTTTCTAGAAGAGTGTAAAAAATGTAGAAGATACTCTAGAAAAGGTAAAGAGAAAAAACATACACGAAAGATTGCTGCAGCACGGGAAAGCAGAAGCAAATGCTGTGGATAGCGACTTTTTCCACTTAAAATTTGCCAATGAATGTCATTTCTGTAGCCATCACTTAGACCTCTCTCTGCATGTTTCGTAGCTAGTGCAGCTAACACAGTAGCTGGAATCACCTCAGGCCCACTGGAAGCAAAGTTCTGAAGTGCCGCATAAATCTTATGGCACTCATCACAACAAAACCATTTATCCTTGGGCAGTTCCTGTACCAATTAGGCAAAACATCAATTAGTTGCAAAGGGCCAATGATCTAATACTCTCTTGACGCGATAAATATCTGAAACTTACTTTCAGATCACACAGCCCAGATTCCCGCAGGCAGCCGACATGGTATTCCTTCTCACACTACACAAGAAGAGTAAAAATTAATATATTAAAGCAACCAAATGACGAAAAGTCCGTGGTTAAGGAGATAACAATTAAGTCCAAAAAGATAGGCAAGTGTGTACTTGATCACAGAGTATCACGGTTCGCTCATCAAAGTTCGCAGCACTAAAGTCCTGGGACCTATATTGAGCACGAGACGAAAAGAAATCAGTGACCTAAAAGTGACCACATATGCATAGATATATTCCAGTCAGAATGTACGGACCATGACAACCTTTATTGATATTTGAAGTATAAATATAACGTGTTGCATTTAAAAATCAACTCTCTCTATCTAGCTACAAAACTTAAGGTTAAAAGGCAAGTATATATTATGGATCAGTAACCATATATTCTTAAATGCAAGGAACTTATACATCAGTGGAATTTCATGTCTATATTCAGCATGGATTCCAATCACCTAACCAATTTCTCTTACCCGTCCATTGCATTATTCATTATTATGTATTCGTCGTTCCACAGGTGCCTTCTTCTGCATTTTTTCCCTTTGGCCCACATGTATTCACAAATCATTGCACAAATTTTCTTTGGTCACTCATCAGACTAAGCTGACTATTCATAAAGCTACAGCTACTACTACTATAAAATATCGTGGACAATGGCACATGTCACCACAAAACATTCACATGGTAAGAACATCCTTGTTACAGCTAGTTGTCTGCATTAAATTCACCAAGGAACGAAAAGTCACAACATTCACCAGTTGGTCTATATTTTATAACATTATCAATGCTAAATGCAGAAGAATGTTCATTTGAAGAGTAGCCTACACACAAGCAAAATATATGACAAACAACAAAAAAGGATCCATAAAATTTTTAATGAATAAACTAGCCAAATAAAGCTTAGTTAGTTTAAGAGGTTGAATATGTTGGGAATTCTGCGGAAGGAAACATTTCAAGCTGATTATTCACTTCCTAGTATAAATTGGCATGTAAAAATCCACAATCAAAATGAAAGTAAGACAAGCATATGAATAGACAACAACTAGTACAACAAACCTGCATACAACACAACCACCAGGTTCGGACTCTGGTGCTTTAACAACTCTTGTCAGCCGAATGATATTAGGTCTTGACTCCCCAGCTGCTCTCTTACAAGGTCCAAATTTGTCTCTGCAGAATGGACAGTGCCAATCATAGGCGGGGAGACACTGTAAACCCAAACAAGCTGCAAGAACATGTGCTTCATTGAGATTCAACCATAATAATATAAAACTAGAAACAAGAAAGTGGGAGGTCCTAAAAATATAGAAGATATTATCTAATCCTTCCAAGCTATGAAATAACAATGATTTAGAGCTTTAATAATAGTAGCATGGTGCCAATAGAAATCCTGCGGTAAAGAAGCTAATGAGAGAAAGCATTTTATACAACAATAAATGGCAGCAGTGGGATAACCAGAAAAAAGGAAAAATGAAAAAGAAAAAGAAATAAAAAAGAGTGATGTGAATGAACCCCCCCACCTCCAAGGAAATAAAAATTAGATTAATAATGAAAAGAACAAAAAAAATAAAAATAAAAAATAAAGAAATCGCCTTATGTGTAAACATGTCTTGAGAACAAGCTTATCAATTAGATTATTATTATTTAAACATATACATCATATGACTTCAGTGGGAATTGGCCTTCACAATCGGTAAAAGATGGCCTTATCAACCATAAAAGATCAAGAGATGAAGCAACCATAAAATTTTTTAGGGTTCGAAACATAACAGCAATTCATAAATACGGCAAAAATCAGGCTCATCATACAAGAAGAGAGCATCTAGTTAATTTATATGGATATGTTTTGCTGTTTATCAACTTTCAAGATATTTGCTTCAAACAGTAAGTACACAATCCTAAATTTTATTTGTAATACTAAATAAAGAGATGGAATGCTATAAAGCAATTGGAAACTAAGGTCTTGGTTGAAGAAAGTTTCTTATCAGCTTACACAGAGGGAAGTTAAATTGTACCAACTACGGAGTACAATAGTGACTTGACCTATTTCAAGTTCTCTAAACCTGTATGAACACCCATCTTTCCCTTCAAAGTCTATAGTAAACTAAAAAAAATAAATAAATAAATAAATAAATAAATAAATTCCTTCTCTAAACCTGTACGAACACCCATCTTTCCCTTCAAAGTCTATAGTAAACCAAAAAAAATAAATAAATAAATAAATTCCTTCTCTAAACCTGTACGAACACCCATCTTTCCCTTCAAAGTCTATAGTTAAAAAAATAAAAAATAATAAAATAAAATAAAAAACTAATCCTGTGGTTTCCATTTGCATTTTTGGCCTTCAATCACAATACAACCAGTAACTGTCCCATCAAAACATGTCATTCAATTCAAATATTTTAAACTGGTTTTTGGTACTATTGTGGATTCACCAACTGAGAAAGATTTTTGAGTTTCACAATAAAAATCAAATATATTCAGCTGAACTACATCATCTAAAATCTTAAGTTGTTATAGAGAGCCACACGTGTATAATCTAAATCTTGCCTTCAACAAATTCACTACCAAAGTGAGTTGTTTACTGGTGAGTTCAAATGTTTAGGTAGAAATTCAAAACATACATAGAGAGAATTAACATCCATTGTGGCAATAAAAGCTTGATTCAACCACAAAACTAAAGCAAAATGAAATTAATTAAAGAAAAATACCTGCATGAAAAGCTCGAGGGAAACCATTACATATAATAAGTTCACCTCCATCCCCGCATACAGCACACATATCATCACTGCTACCAGTGGCAAGATTTTGACCATTTGCCAACATCAAAGCTACGTCATGAAGTGTCAAGCCACTGGATGTATAGATATGACGATATCTGTGAAAGGACAGAAAGTTTAGATCACTGCGTGTTAAACCTAAAATACAAGGAACATTTAGTTTCTAAGAAATTAATTACGGTTGACGTTTTGCTGCCCATCCAGCATGAGCCTCGAACTGGGAAGGACTAATCTGTTTCCAAAAGAAAATAGAAAGGATCAGAAAGGCAGAAGGGAGGAGACGAAGAGAACAAATAGGGGAGTTTGTTACTTGACTTAGTACAATACATGGAGGAAATACTTTAACATACAGCCATGAGAAATTACCGCAGTGTTACAACAACTACAGACTATACCATTCCCTTGCTTGTAACCACCAAGAATCCTCTGTTCAAAAATTTGCCAAAATTATCCACACAGCAATTAATAAATAATGAGCAAATTAAAAATATCTTAAATGTGCAAAGAATGAAAAACAACCTTTCCTCTCGAATAGTAAGCCAAATCAGTCCCATCCGGAAGTCCATTTGGCATGAAAAGCAATCTATGTAAATCATTGTCCCTGTCATACATAGGCCCCATAAATGAAAGGTAGGTGAAGCAATTACGAATGTTAAAAAAAACATATAAAAGGAGTTTTCTATAAGAGATGATAATAAAGATAAACAACGACAGTAAGCTTGCCTTTTTTTTGTGCCACCTTCAGAAGATCTCTTATGTTCTCCAACTGAACTAGAAAAATAGTGTCTCGGCCTGTACAACAACTGCATATTAGCAATCAAGACAATAAATTTTCTATTTTTGTTTTTTAATACCTATTTCAGGAAGAGAGAGAGAGAGCAAACTTTTTGATCAAGCGCTTCTGCTCTGCTGGGGCCACTACAGAGTCTTCAGTAGTCTGACTCAGATGGCTGTGAGATAATGGAAACAAAGAGAATAAGTAAAGGATAAATAGTAGTTATATTAACATCAAAATTAGTTACTGGTTCGAAGTTTCCATCATCAACTATATATTTCTCAAAATTGCAATATCATGGAAACTAACTATCTGTGTCACTCCTCAATATACCAGAACAGCCACAAATGCTCAACGCAAAATTAGTAGTCTAATTGAAAGCACCGGACATTTAAAATAAGCACTAAGCATTAAGCAAAATGCCTTCTATTGCAGAAGATTCTTTATCCATATTCCACAAGTCAAATACAATCAGTAAACCCATTATGCACTTATTGTTATAAAAATCTGCTTTATTTGATGTTCACAAACCAGCAGCAAACCCATAAAAGAAAGACTTGGAGGAGTTTAGCATGCAACGCATTATATCTATAGTCTATTTTTGTAAGACTAAAATCTAAAGAGCTTAAAAGGGAGCAATGTGGCATAAGCTTCTCAGAACTTCTATTTTAAAGTGCACACAACCTGTTAGCCCAGAGAAACAGAAATTTTGACGATAATGCTAAATTAAGATTATCAGGGGCCAAAAAATAAAAAATAAAAAAAAAAAAAAATAAACCTATGTAATTATGAAAAATAACTCCTAGAAGTTAAACATAAATTGTATTGCACGGGCATTTCTGGTTAAATAGACCACGCACGTTCAGCACTACCCGTGATTGATCCAGCAAGGATACAAATTACTTTAATCCCAACAATATCAAGGAAGAGTTGACAGAAGTTGACAACACTGAAACATATAGAAGCATCAATTGACACTAGTGTAATTTCCACGCATTAAAGTCAAACAAGTTGCACAAAGTAATCTCCAAACACTGTCTATGCTATGGATTTAATATGACCACAAATGAATAAACGAACAGAAGTCAAGTCCTCATTTAAGCAATAACAGTGTCAAGTCCTCATTTATGCAATGGCACTGACTTATTATGTTCTAAACTACTCGTGTATGAAATGCACAGAAGCAGATTTGCTTTCTGTTTCTTTTACTTTTTTCCCTATTGAATTCAATCCCATAAATGGGGGAGCCTTTGGAAAGAGAAGTGGGAGGAGATGATAGTTAAAACAATTCAATTATTTAAGAATTATACATACCTAATTGTGGAGGGATTTGTGCCAAAAGGATGGCTGTAATGAATTTGGTCGGCATAGACCGTGTCATTACCACGTTGAAGATTTGCTGCAACATCCAAGAGAACATTAGAATGCATAAACAGACAAAACATGTCCATCTCTTATTCAAATCCTCTCCTCCTTACCCCAACTCCCACATGGGTATTGCAGCAAGTTACAGAAAGCAAGTTGACTTGTAAGCCAAATAAACACTATTTATAATTTGTACAATCAAAAACATAATATTCCACTTGGGATAAATATTTGCGTCCATGTTCAATTTTATCCTCAGGAAACACACTTTGACTACTTGCATTGGAAGTCCATACCATGCGTGTAACAGAAATGGAATACGTGCAAAGCTCGAGACACGGGACATATTTATAATTTTATCCAGGAGCATCTGACTAAGAGTTACAATGAATCTCATTTAAGAAATTTTAAAAATATTAAAAGTTCGTAACCATGTGCCGAAGTGGAATTGGTTTCTTTTAGAAAGAGAGAAATTATTGAAAACTGAAGTATTGTATAAAATAAACTTGGATGTGTTGAATTTGGTGATTGAAAAGTGTACAAAGCTCCTAACCTAATAGCCCAAGATAAGTAATTAAAACCTAAAAGAATAAAAAGTCATAATCTAAAAAGAAATAGAATCGTACTACAAATAGGATTGTCCTACATCACCATGCTTGCGCTACCCCTACAAAAGCAGGAGTTTCAGGAGACTCATAGCTGGGTCACCATCAGGAGCATACCAACTTGCCCACTAAGATAGCCATGTGGGATGTCATGTGCACTAACCACCTGCTTATACAACTCATTCCTTCAGTAACATTGAAATACACAAACATCTGATCGAAGTTAACAATTTTAACAGCAGAGGCAGCTTACTTTAGAGAAGTTGCAAATTGAACAACCACATAAATAACCACCATCTTTTATGATTCCTGGAACCTCCCTCTGGTAATCAGTGAGACCAAATTACTTGAAAAGCAGATAAAAACTGTATCTTAAAAAAGAAGAGGTGCAAGATACAACTTACCTCCCTGGAAATAGACATATACTTCACTCTTGCTCCTTCCAGAATTCTAGTAGACAGAAGCTTTTTAACATTTGTCGGGTAATTCTCTGGGATTACCTTCTTGGTCATCTTCAATTCCCTGTTGGGTACACATGGGAAAGGACTTTGGGTTTCATGAAAATCATTCACATCTTTGCATGAATTCATTACTCTGTTTATATCACCAAAATCAATTGCATTCCACGCATTTTTGTAGAGATTGGTAGGTGTGGGCCGAGAAACAGGACCGTGTAATGGATTTTCAACATAGTGAATGGGAAATCCATTATTAGTCACAGGCTCAGCAGCAGGAACCGACAAGTAAATTTTAGAATCCTCCTTGGGTTTGCTTAACTTAAATGTGATCTTCCTGATACCAGTGGTGCTAACATCCTTCGGAATTTCAAGCACAACTCGGGAAACGGTGACTGATTCTGACATGTGATTTCTATTGTGCTCTTCCTCACACAAGCTTCCGTTGCTCAAGTTTTGGGAACATGTATATAAAATTTCTCCAGAACCATCGTGGTCCTTTCCAACCATTTCAGCTTGTTGGCTAATAGTAGTCACATTTGAAGTAACGTCGTTAAGAGACAGAAATGGGTTTGAAACTTCAGATAAAATATCATCATTGGACACCTCTTTCACTTGATTATTAGCGTAAGGCTCCAATTCAACATCATTTGGTGCTTCTTTCACCTTATTTTCAGCAGAAAAATGCTCCAAGTCACCATCATCTAGTGCTTTCATAACATGATTATCAGCAGAATGTTCCACCTCAAGGTCATTTTTTGCTTCCTTCAGCTCTAGTTTAACACCATTTAATTCTTTTAACAGACTTTGGTCACAATTTTCATTAAAAGCTTCATTTTCGTCACTTTCAACAAAGGGCTCCAATTCCCTACTGTTCAAAACTTCCTCTCTTGTATCTTGAGCGCAAGCATCTAATTCACTACTTTTTACAACTCCTTTGTCTTGGGTATGAGCTAAAGGTATTGATTCTGAATCATTTGGAACTTCCTCTGCCTGGCTTTCAGCCCAAGGTGGTTTTTCAGTACCATTGAAAACTTCTTTTATCTTCCCTTCGGAATGCTCTAACTTGTTATTGTTCAAAATTTCCATACTCTGGCTCTCAATAATATGCTCTAACTCAGATTTATTCAAAACTTCACTTGCCTTTCTTTGAAAACGAGATTCCGTTGCCTGTCTCTTCGCATGAGGTTCTACTTCAGCACCATCCAACATCCATATCTGGTCGCTCTTCACTTCGAATTGCTTGTCGATCTCCATTCCATCGTTCAAAACCGACATGCAAACTTCACCTTCACCTTCCCCCATTCAGATATACCTCCTCTACTAATACAGAATTAATATTGAACCACCCGCATACAGAAGGCCGCAGCATTCAAAGATGCAGTCATGCTGATAACAAAAAGGCACTCAAGTACGTGATTATATGGGTGATTATCTATCAAACTTCAGCTTCCAATTTTCTCCAACAATTACCACGTGTCCGAAATTCCCACCGCAGGAAATTTTAAAAGAATTGAGTATCCGAATAAAACACTCCACGACTTCTTTTATCCACGTTAGCGACTGAAAGAAATAAAATCTCGAACAGACTCAACTCTTAAACCCCGGAACTGTTTTTCAAATTTCGAATTTCAATTCAAACACAGACTACGAATTAATATCCAATTAGTCTACCTCTTCAACACAAGAAACCACGTATAGAAACGAAACTAGTTTTAAATCTGAAAATACACCACAGATCTGAATACACCGCCCTCCAAATTACTTTCTATACTACATCTATATAAACGTCGATAGTTTTTACAAAACATGCATGTATATACAGAACAAAAATAGATCTACTGTTTGAATTATAACAAGAAAAATAGGGAAAATGTTAGGGTTTAGCAAATAATTTTTTTCTGGTTCTGATGAAACGAATAAAACGGCAACAAACGCAACTGAAAACGTCGATTCACAGGACTGAATTAATATTAAAATAATATTACTGTTTGTTATAGAGAGAGAAGAAGTGGTTTTGGTCTGGCATATGGAAGGGACGAGAAGACGGCGGATCTACTTATAAGGGTGAAATTGACCGGTCAGCCATTTTATATATCGAAGGGTGGGGCCAACTTAGTGTCCTCTTATCTTAGAACACGTGGATTAGGGTACTGTGACTTTGTGATCTGTCCTTGATAAACTCGTCCGATGTAAAACGTGTAGGGACAGGATGAGCCTGACTTTTCTTCTGTTTAGTTCACTCCATTGGTCTCGAATTTCAACAACACCCGCGCTTTTATGGATGACCCTACCAGTTAAACTGCCGAGAATTGGAGGAAAAGAATTTGGAGATTTTCGTTTGGATTGCTATTTTCACGCTGTTTTTAATTTTTAGTTTTGTAAAATATTAAAAATATATTTGATCTGATATTTTTTAAAAATACATTAAAAAAAAACGATGATAAATTTATAATATAAAACTTAAAATGCATCTAATGTGATCACAATTAGCACACCTCCCAAGGAGTACTACTCAAGGACTCAATGTGTTGGCTCATCGTATATGAGTCATGGAGTCCTTGGGTATAATGGTGTCCTCGAGACAATACCAAGGATTAGTACCATGCTTCCACTAGATTTAGGTGGTAACCTCCTCGGGGTAAGTCCTTGGGATGCCTTTTGCTTAATTTCGAGAACCTTTTTGATTTGGATCATACTCTCTAAGGACTTTAATCTCACCCAAATACCTTACCCCAAAACTCATGTGCCTATGAGGACTCTATCTCAACAATATTACCATTAAACCATGATTGATCTTGCAATTATAGTAAAAGTCCAACGCCACTCTCAAGTAGGACTTTCTGAGATAATGATATTCAACTAATTTAGTCATGCTAGGAGTTCACCACCACTTCTATAAATATAAAGCATCAATTCATAATTCATGTATGCTTTTACATAGTTTTTCAGTTCATAGTCTCATGCATAAATTTTCTCCCCTAGCTTAAGCTTCGAATGAGCAATGAGGACATGACTTCTTTGTTTTAGGTACCGAAAGATCTCGTTCGTACTCATTCTTAGTCGTCAAGCTCGGAATTAACAGGTACAATTTTTTGTACCATCATTGGCGCCGTCTGTGAGAAGCGCTACCAAAAGCTATGATTAACATACGTTCAGGTCTTCCTCCAACAAACTCATCTGTCCTAAACCTTCCTCCTCCTGAAGATCTTCTCGTTCCTCAAGAAGAATCATTAGAAATACCAATGCCCCAACCGGCAATTGTAATCGCTGGAGCTTTCAAAGAGCTTTGTCAACAAGTTGTCGCGCTAACTCAACTGCTAAGTCAGAGGAATTCGCATCCATTACCCACACTGACACCCAAGGGGGTTTTATGGCCGATGCTCCAACTCCGGCTCCACGCCTTATTCCTGATATTGGTAGAGCCAAGGCCTCGGGTATACCCTATGTGGCCTCAACCTCGATATTAGTGACTATGTAGTCCGGTGAACTTGTTGGGATCATTCAATAAGGGATTATGGCAGGCCTGCTTCGAAACACTAAAGGGTCAACAAGTTTTACGCCTAATACTCCATTTACTCCCAAGAATATTGTCATATCCATAGTCATTATCGGACAAATTCAAGTATCCACGTATAAAATAATATGATGGGACAATTGAACCGATCAACCATCTCAATGTGTATATTCTCGTCATGAATTTGTAAGTTGCACTGGACCAAGTGTTGTGTAAGGCTCTTCAGCAAACTTTAACTAATGCTGTCAGGGATTAGTTCTCAGCCTTGGAGCCTCGTCTCAAAGTTGGCCAACAAGTTATTCGCCTTCTTTGCAAGTAGTAAACCCATCAGGAAAATAGCAGCTTCCCTCATGCAGTTTCGCCAATGATAAAATGAAACCCTACGTGAGTTTATAGCGAGGTTCAATAAAGAAAGGCTCCAAATACCCGATCTACATATTACAGTAACTGTCTCTGCCCTCACATATGACATGAGGTTTGAAGATTTCAAAATGTCTTTGTCAAAAACTTCACTAAAGTCAGTGATCAAGCTCTGACCCTAAGTGAAAAATACATTAATATAGAGAAAACATTAAGTCTAAGGAAAATTTACCCGGCCTAAGAAAGGGCCAAGCATAAAAAGTAGCATAATTCGAGTCCACCACAAAGAATTCCTCGAAATAAGAGAGGTGATAGGTATTGTCGACGTTATTCACCCAATTGAACACTTCCAAGACCAACATCTTGATAGAGATCAAAGATACAAAGAAACTACAGTAGCTTTCGAGAATGAAGTCCCCTCCTAACACCAGGGACAAAAGCAATTTTTTTTTTTTACGTTCATCGAGATCATAAACATACCACGAAGAATTACAAGACCTTGCAACGGGAGGTTGAGGCCCTTATTTAAAGAGGATTGCCGAGTTCTTTATGTTAGTCGTGATAAATACCCAATAAATAATCGTGATAGGCGAAAAGTCCCTAAGGCCAAAAGCAATGGTCAACCTACAGCGAGAACTATTAACATTATTATTGGAGGTGTAGAATCGGAAGGAGACTCGAACAATGGACAAAAGCAATATGCCCGTCAATATACCTTGGCTTCAAAAACAACTCATGATAACCTCAAAGACATTGCTTTTAGGTCGAAGGATTTGGAAGGTATATCATTTCCTCGTTATAATGCCTTAGTCATTTTAGCAATCATGGCTAACTTTGAAGTGAGAAGAATCTTGGTTGATAATGAAAGTGCAACCAACATACTCTCTCGTGAAGTCTTTGCCAAGATGGAAATTTCGGCCAAACAGCTAAAGGCAGTCAAAACTCCTCTTTGGGGATTTGGTGATGGTTTCATCATCCCTAAGACGAACGTCAAACTTCCTCCAACGTTGGGTTCTAATCAGAGACGGGTGACAGAGATCACATCTTTCCAAGTAATTCGTGCTTCAATGGCTTACAATACCATCCTAGGAAGACCATTGCTCAATAAGATTAAGGCTATTATGTCCACGTTCTACCTTGCTATGAAGTTCACTACAAGTAATGGCATTCGTGCGGGAAGACCAGACAGCTGTTAGACAATGCTATATTACTAGCATTCGGGGAATAAGTACTGACATCATGCAACTTTCAGTATCAGAGCTCGAGCTCAAACAGCGAGTGAGGTTTGCTCCAATGGAAGAATGAATAGAGTTTGAGCTCGAGCATGATAAAAATGTGATAATCGATCAAGATCTCGACATCACCCTCACGGATGAACTTATTAGCTATTTTTTTCTCGTGACATTGATGTTTTTACATGGAAGGTGAGGATTTATCAGGGATAGATCATGAAGTTGCGGTCCATACACTCAATATTAGTCCAGTGGCTAAAACAGTCAAGCAAAGGAAGAGGCGATTTGCATCGAAACGACAGGAGGTCATTCGTGAAGAGATCGATAAGCTCTTCAATGTTTCATTTATTCGGGAGGTTCAGTATCTCGATTGGCCTGCCAATGTTGTTCTCGTCAAAAAGGCCAATGGTAAATGGAGAGTTTGTATTAATTTTAAGGATCTTAACAAAGCATGTCTTGGAGATAGTTATCCTCTACATCGGATTGACAACCTATGGACAGTACATCGAGACATAAATTATACAGCTTCCTTGATGCATTTTTTGGCTATTATTGAATTCTCACAGCCGAGAAAGACCGGGAAGAGACATCTTTCATAACTAAGTCTGCCATATATTGTTACGAGGTTATGCCATTTGGTTTGAAGAATGTAAGGACAACATATCAAAGACTCGTCAACAAAGTCTTTGCAAATTTGGTTGGGAAAAATATTGAGGCCTATGTTTACGACATGGTAGTCAAGAGCAAACAGGTTGACCGAAATATATCAGATCTCAATGAAGTATTCAGCACCCTGAGAAAGTGTAAATGAAACTAAATCCTGCAAAATATGCATTTGGCGTAACCACAAGTAAGTTCTTGGGCTTCATGATCACTCACAGGGAAATAGAGGCCAATCCAGAAAAAATACTGGCATTGGCATCAATGAAATCACCCAGGAATAAGAAAGAGGTACAATAATTGACGGGTCGTGTTGTCGCGCTCAATAGGTTCATGTCCCGAGCAGCAAACAGATATTTCCCTTTCTTCGATGTTTTCAAGGATATTCGAAGCTTTAATTGGGATGAGGAAAGTGAAAGGGCTTTCCAGAAGCTCAAACAAACATTATATTCTTACCAAACCCGAGCCCGATGATAATTCGCGTTTACACCTCGCTATATCTCAAAATGCAATAAGTGGTGCGTTGGAGAAATAGGTTAACAAAGGTTAACAACCCACTTACTGTGTGAGCAATGTCTTACTTGATGCGGAGACAACAACCTACCCTTGGTTTGGTCATAGCATATGAAAAATTTCGATAATATGGTCTTAACTGATCTCGTACTTTCAATTGAGACAATGCAATATCATAAACCTTTTTAGTTGGAACTTTTATGGAAAAGCAAGTACTATGATTGTAGAATTTTTTTTTTACACATTCAAATGATCCATTCTATCATTCCCTATTGCTTGAATGATATAAAATATTATGTTATGAATTACTTTTAAAATATTATTCCACCTCCTCGTATAATTATCATATCACGCCTTTTTACTATATTAACATATCTATAAGTAATTCAATATTTAACTCAGCTAGCTTATTATTCATCAACTGCTAGTTTACTCGAAAGGGCTTTAGAGGTTTTATATCTTAGTAATATTTATTTATCACCAATGATGTTAACCAATAACTTAGGTGTCAATTACATGATATTAAATGATAGATTCATTTAAAAACAAAGTCGTATCTATAAAGTATAGCCATTTAAACTAGTGATATATAGTATTATTCTTTATAATTTATAAATGAAATGGGTCCCCATTAGCAGGGTTTGATTCTAGGGCCAACACTGGGCCAATGCCTACTAGGCAATGGCCTTGGGCCCCGTCCTCCAGAGAAACCTATCGAAATCAGTATCTCTTTTTCTCTTTCTATCCTTTCTTTCTGGAGATGAATTCCTTACTTTCAAAAATTAGAGAGTGTTTGGTAGGGATTAAAATTAGATTTTTTAGTAGATTGTAATAAAAGTTTATGAAATTTGTGGTTGAAGAGTTGTGAGACTCATGAAAAATGTGGTTAATATTGATTGTTTGACTTTAAAGTCAGATTTTAATTCATTCCAAACATAATTTTTGAGTTATCAATGCTGTTAGTAACTTTTCAAGAAATTCGAGGATTCTTTTTAGGGTGCGTAATTCATTTTCTTGTTATATTTTTAAGGTTTAACTTTATTTTTCTCGGATTTTTTCGTAGTTGATATTTGAGGTTTCTTTTGCTGGATTTTCTACTTTCTATTTTATTCTTTTCAAATTATAATTTTACAACTATTTATGTATTTCTTTATGATTCTATGTTTTTTAATTTAATCTTATGCTATAAGATTTAACAATAGTTGTGAGAAAAAAATTAAGAACAATGCAATTTTATTATTATTTCATTTCTCTTTGAGTTTTAAATTTCGAGGGCTTTATAGTGCCATTGTGCATTTTTTTTTAATATTGCATTGAAATTTTGAAAGCACAAAGTAAATTTGTTGGAAATTCGACTGCTATTGCAATGTAGGTTCTTTACACTATGTATTATCTTTTCCCAGTGGATTTACCATCATTTGAACCTAGAATTTTAAGTTAAGTGCCTTTGGGATAGTTGTGGATAATGATAATCTTTCGCTAATTATGGGCAGATAAATGCCAGCAGTAATATTAGGGGTGGACGTGGTTCCATTTGGTTTTGGTTCTAAGAGAATCGAACTAAACCATGAACCAATGATTTTTCTGATAATAGAACCGAATGGTTTTTTTAAGAAGTGGAACTGAACCAAATCGAACCATTCGGTTTTGGTTTGATTTGGTCTGGTTCTAGTAGACTAGTACTATTACTTAAGTTTTCAATCTTGCACAATATTTATAAGTTAGTAATATGTACTTAAATAAAAAATATAAACATCAAACATTTAACAAGTTCAAATTATCAATAATCAAGATTACAAAAATCCAAACTAACAAATAAAATATAAACGAATGAGTCATTGCCAAAAGTTAATAGAATTAAGCCCTGCGTCGGTTATTGCGTGGATGACCGCGCACTCATAGTCGAGGCATGGGTCCCCCATGAATAAAATAATCCCAACTCCCATGTGTGTGTGTGTTGTGTCAACCATACGATTATCCTTGTGGGCACTGTAGCTAGGTTGAAGTTAATAATATCGAGTTTAATTACATTCTTTGTCCAAATGAGGGATGATGTCCGTGTGCAAACAGGGAAAAGTAGCACTATCTAAACGAGGAATGATGATGTCTGTGTGTAAACCGGGAAAAGTGGTGGTGGTATTGCCTATCTTCCTCTACCACGGTACTGTGAATGTGAGTTTTGAGAAATTCAAAAAATGAAGAAATTCCAACAAAAGGGTCAGCTTTCGTTTAGAAATTATATATGTTTATAAAGAAATAAACCTCACTACCTTAGAATTCAAAGTGTCCTCAAAGACAAATACAATGATGGATTGGAAGCCGGCGTCGATGACCAGAGCGAGACGCTGAATGTTGAGAGACGAATTGGAATTGGGAATTTGGGTTTCTCTTAATCCTTTGGCCTAGACGACTATGGCTATTAGAGAAAAAAATTAATGAGCTAAACACGTTTAATTGGCTGTAGAAAATAATGACTAATGGACTAACTTCCATTAATATAAAATTAGATTCATACAAAAAATAAAATTATAAATTATGTTTGGTTCTTGTTCTAGCATTAGAACCGAACAGGAACTGGAACCAAATGATTCTCGGTTTTAAGAACCAAAACCATTAATTTTTTTCATAGAACCGAACCAAACCACTAGGTTTGGTTTGATCTGGACATTTTGTCCACCCCTAAGTAATATAGCTTAATGATAATCTAGGTATTGCTATATATATTTAAGAGTCTCGTAATTGTTAATTGCCTAAGGCCTCAAATTTTTAAGACCGACCTTGAGTTTGAAAATACAGACTGAAATGTTTCTTTAAAAAGGCCATTAGTATAATTGTAATTCCATCATTTGTTAATCGTGGTCCATATTACACCACTTTGATGCTCGTTGATCAGTTAGAAATGTGTACTTGCCCACTTAGCACAATTTTATTTGTCCTAATTTTTAGAGTACTGTTATTTAACACCATTAATGTTTAATACTAGTCTAGATGGCATACTAATGACATTAAATTATAAGTTTAATTAGATACAACAAATTATAACACATTTAATAAGACCTATGATGTGCTAATATATAGACTGTTATTGAATATCGCTGATGCTAAATATCGTTATTCTAAAATTTAATGTGTATCCATATTGTTGCGCAGCTTGCAAACATGCTCTTCCACGATGCTTAGTAGTTGTACCAATTTCTCAATTCCATCAACTTAACTTCATTATTTTCAGTGTAGCGCCATGATGATATTTTTATTTCGACATTACACTTTTAGCACTACTTATTCTTTAAATTCCCCACATAATACCTGAAAATATACTTCTTGACATAAAAATAAATAAATAAATAAAAATTAACAACGTTACATTGTTAGTTCTTGAGCTTGAATTAATACACCATGTATTATGCCCTTGGTTGAGCCAGATTATTTTTATAAAAATGTATTTTTAAATAGTGTATTGATGGAAAACGTGTGGTTAAAAATAAGGAAAAGTATTGAATTTGCATGTAATATTATTTTATTGAATGATATGTGATTGAAATGATGTCAAATCACTGTTTAAAAATATACTTTTTTTAAAGAACGTGAGTCAAACAATACCTATATGTTGCATTAGCATATATTGAGCACTTGACTTCATATTTATTATATATATATATTCATATTTATTTATAGTCATGTCAACGATTCTAAAAAAAAATTTACATGTTTTTAGATGGAATAATGTAAAATGTACAAAGGGATCGTCTTAGGTGACACGACATGTAATATTGGGTGAAATGATAAAATCAATCAAATGTGTAAATATGAAGGGAAATGTCATTTGTACTATTTTTTTTACAGCATTGTTGACAATGTTGGTACGTCGCAAAAAATTGTTAGATAAGAAGAGAAATTATTTTTTAAACTATTCAGTGAAAACTTGTCATGTGACATATTGTCAAAAGAGATGTGCTACCCAAATAGGGATTATTGACGGGACTATAAATAGGGGCCGAGATGCATCCACCTCGGCCCTTGTTTAAATATCCCATTAATAGCCCTGTTTGAGTAGCATTAGTATTGTCAAAAATATTGAACACAAAATATGATTCAAATGTGAAGCTCATTTTATTGATATTATCATTTAATGAAACCTCATGTGTGAATCATCCTTAATTTGTACATATATCACTATTCCTATGGATGACACATTGGACGGTGGTTCATTTAATAGAGAATATAATGTGCCGATTTTAACACAATTATAGAAATTTATATTACTATATAATTAAGATTTATATATTGGTCGTCAACGTAAATATTTTTTAATGATTATATGGACTTCCATATAGACATAAAGAGCGCTCGGTACACGATTGATATTGTTTATGGAGCCTAAAAGTTTAAAAGACTGAACATATTTAAAGCTGCAATACTTATGAGCAATTATCACACATGCAACATTCACTTACTGGAAGTGTAATTTGTTTATTGAATCATTTACAACATTTTCAAGAAATATTATCGAAGGTTGGCACGAGTATCTGTATCGGATATTTATACACTGGGTAATTTCCACGAGCTGCGATCTTGTCAAGGTTTTTAAATGTAATGATATCTATAACTTATTTTTTCATTTTCTAGTTTTGACAATAAAGTATGTAAACTCATTATGAAATTTATTTAAGATCAAGTTATTTTAGTAAATTCTACTCTTGATTTTCAAATGTATCAATACTTTCGTAACTATAGAACGATGATTGAAATTAGGGATCTGTTCTGTAGTAATTATGAGAATTGATTTTTTGATCGTTGGAGAGAAAAAGTGAGTTACATCCGTAAGTGAAGAGTTTATTTATATTTTTGTCATATATTTTTCTCCATTTTATTGTATTTTATGATAATGCATTTTAATATTTTTTAAAAGTAATTTTTCTATAAATATGAAGTTACGAGATACGACGTCCAAAAATTCTTAAAAGATCAAGACTTCTATTTATCAAAAACAAATGGTATGCACATAATTTTTTTAAAGTAAATAATGGGAAATTGAGTCGTGACATACATATTCTTTTCTACGATACAAATTTAACAACATATATTTTCAATGTCAACCGTGTTTTGAAAGTTACAATAATTTAAACTTTAAATAAGGAACAATCAAATAATGATTTTGACAATGTCACGTCACTTCAAATCATAAAGCTACTTCAACAACTCATATGATTTTAAGTTTTTATTTGATCCTCATTTTTTAAAATTTATTTTTAATTAAATCATTCTCAATAATATATTTATGAGATCCACAATTTTTATTTATTTTACAACAATTACCTTTTTTTAAAATTTTTTTATTAAAAATATAATTTTTTTAACTATATCGATCAAGGACTAAAAATCATCACAATAGAGGCATAGTAATTACTTTCAATTATCCAAATCAATCTAACAAAGAATGAGAAACAATGTGTACCCAATAAAATAAACTAACCAACGAATGCCAGCAACAAAGAAGACAGGCGCAAAGCAAATACCAACATGGTGTGCTGAGTATTGGCCCAAACTTACACCGAAGCAGGCGGCGATTCATTGCTACGCTTTTTTGCATTCTTGGAGTACTTCAAAAAGAAAAATTAATATTATAAAGCAATTGGTCATCTCGTGATGAAGCCAAGTTAGCCACTAACCAACTTTAACAAAAATCATTTTTCGAGCTTGTTTGGTATGGTTATTGAAAAGTAAAATGGAGTTTTTAAGATTCCAAAGTTAGATTTTGACCAATTTGGGTAATTTTGATAAAGTACTTCTGGTATTTAAAAGAACTTTTAAAGGAAACTAGTTCAACGTGACTTCCTGTAAAATACTTTCGAAATGAGAAGTGCTTTTAAATATTAGTTATCAAACAAAAATTAAAATAATTTCCTTCAAAAACTCTTATACAAGAGATAAAAACAAAATTAAAAGCTATGCCAAACGGCCGATAATCCAAAAGACGAAACTTTGGCCGAACAACCACCGAAGGTAGTGCTATAAAAATTACTTTATAGTTTATGCTAATGACATAAACAGATTAAAAAAAAAAAAAAAAAAAAAAAAAAGGGTCAGGGTGGGGTCTATTATTTCACTCACTTTATTCATTCAACAATTGTTGAAACCTCTTGTCCCATGATTAAAGATATTCACAAATTTTTTGTATCGACCACTTTATCTCAAAAATTTATTTCTCTCTCTATTTTTTAATCACACAATTTTTATAAACCCCTTGTTTGATCCCCATTTTGAAGGAAATAATGCATTGAATATTTTTTTTATAAAGCCCTTGTTTGATCCCCATTTTGAAGGAAATAATGCATTGAATAGTATATTGATTAAGAATTAGTGGTTAAAAATTGAAGGAAATTTTTGAATTCACGTATAATACTATTTTATTGAAGAATGTGTGGTTAAAAATGAGTTTTTAAAAAATGAATTTTTAGAAGAATGAGAATCAAATAAGGGCAAAATAATATTATACGTAAATCAAAATTTTTTTACATCTTTTTCAATCACACATTTTCCAAAAAATACT